ACAAGAAGAGAAAGGCCCAGGTAGAGAAGAACCAAGACACCCAATGGAATACCAAGACTATGAGAAATGTGAGACCATCTGGTCCACCCAGCTCAGCTGAGGCAGTGGAGGAGGCAGCCCCATGAGTGACACCAGAAAAGTCAGCGATAACCAGCCGACTGAGCCCAGCACAAGCTCCAAAACCAGGAGTAAAGAGTCAGAGTAGATTGTTAGGCAACAGCAAGTGATAACAGATAGAAGACATTTTCCCTGGTATGCTAGAAAGTTCACACATGTGTAGGAAGTTACGGGTACCTCTGTATTTGAGAAGGCACATTGTTCCCACGGAATAATCCTCTCTCCCATCTTCTCTACCCAACTCACTGCTATTCACCATTGTTAAACAAAATTTGTAGGAGGCTATTAGTGTGGACTAGGCTCCTGTGCTAGCTCCAACAGACCAATCCAACTCAGAGTTTAATCATAGTAGCCAAACTTTAGATAATTACAGAGGGCTGTCACCAATTAAGCTTTCCCAGTTAAGTTGTCTTTATACCTCACTTCCATTCTCTACAAATGCTGTCAGATCCCATTGTTGGTGGGAGTTCTCAGAACTTGTTCTGGTTATGGGAGCTACTCGTTTCATGAATTATTGTTTTGCTCCTATAAAGTCTACTAGATTTAATTGGTTCAAGGAGTTTTCCCTCTCTTAACATTACTCAGGTCTCAAATTGGACACCCTTCCTCTGGGAATGCTGCTCTACTCCCCTAAAAAGAAATTAGGATTAAGTGCTTTCTGATGGGCTCCTTAAGGCTCTGCTCTTCTCTCTTTTGGATACAGTGGTTTCCACCCTAGACTGAAGGCTTGAGAGGCAAGCACAGAGCTTGCCTTGGTCCTTGCTGTATTTCCAGCCTGTAGCTTAGCACATGCCGTAACTGGAGACAACTTCCTGCTTATCTACGTTATCAGATGGCCAAGTGTTTTATCAATGCGCTCACCAGGACAACTATTTGACTACTGTCCTATGGATGTTTCTTCCTGAAATGAGATATTCTGTGCCTTCCCTCTGTTCCTAAGCCTGTATCTGGTTAAAACTTCTTATGCTTATGGTGTAATGGTTTCCTTAAATCGTCTCTGCTTTGGCCTATGGTATAGGAAGCAGCTGAAAGGCACCCAAATATTTAATTACTTTTATGGTTGCCAAAATATCCTCACAAAGTGTTGCGACAAAAATTTAGCATCACCAGGATTGATCTAATCAAGGCAAAGTAGGGGGGGAATTATCACATTCATGGCTTAAATTTTATTTTTATTAGTATCAGTTAAAGCTCATATTGATGTACCAGATAGCCTCGTTTTATTGATTTGTAATGGCTTTGCTGCCAACAGTAGCCTGTGAAAAAAAGATTCAAATTTCATCTCCACCTGAGAGTATGTATTTGATTCTCTTTATTAATGTTGTAGGCAACAAAAGCAGCAATTTATCTAGCCTTGTTTTAAAATTTATATAATTGAGTTTTTCCAGTACTGTTGTGATTACCAAAACACACACACACACACACAAACTGTGTGGCGCAGTATTCCCGAGAATTCACATTAAACCAGAATTCGCCATTACATTCCACTTAACTAGAGCTTGCCTTTGAAAAGTTTCTATTCAGCAGTTGGCAAAACTGTTTAATCCATCGCTATTCTATTTGGAAAAAGAGAAACAACTACAAGTAACACCTACATTTCATTCAGAGAAATGAATATTCCTTTCTAGTTCCCATGTTGTAGGGGAAACAGGGACTGTAAAAAGGAACCGAGGATTTGGAATTCAGTTGGGCATTGACCATCCGGCAGCTGTGTGATAGGAAGTGGTAATGAATCAGATGACTAAAGTGGAGCGGGACACAAAAACCTTACTGGATAGTACACAGCATGGTGACCATGCTGGATGTATAAAAACGTGCATGGAATTAATCCTAGTTTTTTAATTTGCCTGTTGTTTCCTATCGGATACAACTACAGCTCAACGTGTCTAATAAAACCTGCCTTTGATACACTAAGGTGATCACTTCCTGTGGGACTGAAATGTGAAGGAGATGAAAATGATAGTTTTCTCTGACCCTTGAAATCTGGCATCCCAGTAGCTTTGTCTCAAGCCTGGAAATCTTCTGTGGGATGGGGTGACGTGTGGACTTGTCACGCAGATGTAGAAAGCCACAGAGACACGAGGAGACCCTGGGAACCAGCTGCTCTCTAATCTCATGGAGCCTCTGCACCCTCAGGCGCTCCATGTCCACGTTCCACAGCGGCACTGTGGCTGCTAGGAGCATCTCTGGGTAGATGCTGCCCTCTTCTGGTCACAATCAGCAGGGCCGGTCCTGTCCCCTGAATCTGTGGAGTCTGCTTCTGAAAACCGTGGACACTCAAGGAAAAGCAAGCTGGTTCTTGGCAGGGTCCCCTTACGTCATTATACCCTGCCACACAAATCCCTGATCTCTGACAGAGGTGCTAAGAACGCCCATTTGTGGGGAGAAAAAACTCAGCAACGTTGCTGAGAAAACTTGGTTTCTGTTGGCAAAAAAATGAAACAAGACCCTCATCTCACACCACGTTAAAAATATCAGTTCAAAATGGATTAAAGACTTAAACATAAGATCTGAACCTACAAAATTACCAGAGGAAGACACGGGGGAAACTTCATAACACTGGAATAGGCATGGATTTTTTTGGAGAGGACCTCCAAAACACAGGCAAAACACCAAAATAGACAAATCAGATTAAATTATAAAATTTCCACACAGAATAATAGACAGTAGAACCAAAGAGACACTTCACAAGAGATACAAATGGCCAACAGGTATATAAAAGTGCACATTAATACTCATCAAGGGAGTGTAAATTATTTTTCAAGCAAAGCATTTAGCAGTACATTTAGATCCACACAATGATAACACTCATAGGAAATTTGCACTTGTACATGATATATCCTGCCTCATTTTCCCCTTCCTCCCCTCCCTACATGAACAAGCTTTGTTTCCATTTTTGTCCTTCTAGTTTTTTTCTTGTCAATTTTCTTCCTCCCTCCCCCTTCCCTTCTTCCCCTTCCCATTTGAACACTTTTTTCCCATTTCTCAACATCTAGTACACATTTTAGTCCTTCAGAGAAATGCAAATTAAAGCTACGGTGAGATTATCACCTCACATCTGTTGGAAGGGCCTCTAAGTAAAAAAAAGAAGAAAAAAACCACAAGTGCTCCAATCACGTGGAGAAAAATGACCCTGACACACCACACTTCTGATGGGAATGTAAATTAGCACAGACAGTAGATAACATGGCGTCACCTCAGAAAAATTAAAGAACACTTATGTGATCCAGCATTCCCACTCCTGTGTGTTATCTCCAAAGGAAATGGAATCAAGATCCACAGGACACCTCAGCTTCACAGCAGTCAAGAAATGGAGTCAACCTAAGTGTCACCACACGAAGAAGAAACGATTCACACACACAGTGGGGTCTGGTTTAGCCCAAGTCAGCGTGAAACACCATCATTTGCAACAACAGTAGCACAACAGGAGGATATCATGTTAAGTAAAACAAACACCAGCACAGAAAGACAAATACCACACAACCTCACACATATGTAGAAGGAAAAAAAAAACGTGATTTCCTCACATATGTGGGATCTGTAGAAGTTGAGAATAAAATGGTGGTGAGCAGAGGCTGGGGGATTAGGGAAAGGATGGAAGGGGCAGGACAGGTCAATGGCATTAAGTTATAGTTAGGAGAAGTAAGTCTGCCTGCCCCACTGTGCATCAGGGTGACCACAGGTAACAAAGCACTGTATACTCCAGGAAAGCTACAAGAAAGTACTTTGAATAATTTTAATGCAAAGAAGCGATCAGGAGGTGGATATGCTCACCCTGACTTGAACACTAAACAATATATACATGTAATAAAACATCATGATACCCTATAGATATGTGTCATTTTTACATGTCAGTTAAAAATGTAAGGCATCCAAAGTAAGTAAATTAAAAGCATAACAATGCAATCCTACCTTGTGTAATTTGGAGGTGGACTGGCAAGGGTCCAAAGTGGAGGGAAACAGTAGGGAGTTGCAGAGCTAGAAGGATAGACTGGCATAAGACTACCGGTGAAGGCTTTACATGCTGGAGGAGGGCTTTAGACTTGACCCTGTGGTTCATGGTAAGTCACCAGAGTAATAAAGATCTATGGTTTTATTCATTCTGGCTCCACTATGGTCGGTGAATGAGAATGGGTTAGACTAGGGGCAGAGAAACGAGGGTCATACGTTAGCCAGACAAGTGACAAGGGCAGTGTGAGCTGGAAGAGCGGCACTGAGAAAGAAAGGACAAGGGGATGGATTGCAAAACACATGCAGCAGATGTGAGCAGATAATTGCTTGTACCATGAATTCTATTTAAAAGATTCTGGTGATGCTTGTCTGTGCAACATACAGTCAATGAACTGCTACCTGAACCCCTTAGGGAAGTTGGTGGAGATCCTCTGCATTTCTCCAAGACACCTTGCACGATGTCACTGCGTTCCTCTCTAGGTAACAAGAACACACTACCCCCTCGGGACACCTGAGCAGGGTCTGGAAGGAGCGCGCTTCCGTGAGCCATCCAGACTCCAACTCTACCTTCCCCCAAATGAACAAGGAAACACACAGGTAGACTGCAAGCCAGTCGTCTGTAGGACCTTTGGGCAAAGGACCTTTGACCCTTTAAAAGTAATTCTTATCAAACTAACAAGCCATCAGCTTTGAATTTTTGAAATCCCGTGGACCCACGAGGGCATCAGGTTTACAGATTTTGGGGCCCAGGGTTGACATAGCTGAGTTGCTACGTTCCTCTTCCACCTTTGGCTAAAAACACATAATCCCCCTGAAATTTGGTTTCTTCACTAATCAGAATGAGGAACAGTTGTTGGTAGAATCAAAATGAGAAAAAATATCACTTTGAGAGTCACTCAGTAAAGCTCACTTTTATGCAAAATGTAACATACCTGAGTAGTTGAGCCTCATTGGATTTCTCTTCTCTCTCACTACGCTGTCACAATCCACGTCTGTTTCTCAAATCAAGAGTCAGTCTATCTCGGGTCAGGGATGTCGCTCAGCAGCACAGCGCCTGCCTGGTAAAGTGTGAGGTTCTGAGTTCGATCCCTGGTTTAAAAACAAACAAACAAAAAAAAAAATCAACCTCTCTCGTGTCACTACCTCATGTGCTCAGACCAGGGAGCGCACCGCACTCCGAGGCATGTTCTGGTCTTCACGCTCAGAATCAGCATAGTCCCCAGAGGACAGCCCGCAACGACCACCCTAAAACAGTACTCTGAGGGTCGCACTGCAAGCACCCTGCAGTTCTCTAAAACACCTTTCACAGCGCCATCATATTATCATTTATGTAATTACCTGCCGAGTAACTCTCTTTCCCGTTTTTGCCCAGAGTCCCTTCGGGACTAGGGCAGAAGCCTCATTCGCTGCTGTGCTCCTACAGCCTAGAACACTTCCGGCTCATGCAGCAGCAGTTCCGGAAGGACACACGAGTGAATCGAGCTCAACAGCCAGACTCCTTACTTGGAAAATTATGACACCGAAAAGTTCCCTGTCTTTCTCGGAGAACAGAGGGAACTGAGACCTAATTGGCCTCTCTGTGAGCGCTAAGGAGGGAGGCTGCACTCAGGGTGACAGCACATTGCAGGTTCTAGGGAAGACGGAAGACAGCGGAAGTCAAGTTGTCCACCAGCGCGTGTGTTTATGGATCTTGTGACACTTTGATCGCTTGTACTCAGATCTGGGGGAATAAGGTCAGATGTGCCAGAGGCTGGGGCTCCTCTGTCTACTAAGACCCCCCCCCCAAACTGACTGCAGGTCTCTGTCATTCACCCTCTTTTGCCCCTGGTGAGGGGGAACAAAGTAGAAAGTCTAGGTCCCAGCGCAAGGCCAGCCAGGGGTCGGCTAAAATGCGGGGCTCAGGACCTGAGCTCAGCTACATTTCTTCGGAATACTCTGCTCTGAGATCCTTTGGCCTCAGCTCTCATGACACAGATTTCAAAATCTTTAGTATTCTAGCTCCTCTCCCTCCTCGATGGGCTTCACTTTGGTAACAGTCAACTTAAACTACGTTTATCAGTTTTAGAAAATGCCCGATGGAGACTATATGGCAGTCTTTGTCTTTTGAACACTAGTATCCTATCAGTGTGCCTTAAAACTTAACATGTTTGCTGCGATCACCCGGCGGCGTGCGCGTGAGCTCCCGGCCTGCGCGGGAGCTCCCGGCCTGTGCGACAACAGACCCAGGAAGGACACAAGGACCCCAGAGGGGGTTTTTTTCAGCTGCCTGCCTACCTGCCTGTCTGCGATCACCCGGCGGCGTGCGCGTGAGCTCCCGGCCTGCGCG